ATAATAAGATAAGTACTATGGCATACGAGGACGGACAACTTAGAGCAAAGGAAGACATATAATCACTAAAAACTCTAAAAAGTTTAATAAAAAACGTTTCGGTCTGAGACCTTCATCAGATGTAATACAATAACTTACAAACTCCTTATATAGGTTTACAAAGAGGGCGTGATAACACATATTAACAAATACAATAATTACTATGTGAAGAATTATCACAATTTACAAGAAAAACAAACATAGAAATTAAGAATTTCTCCAATCCACTGAAATGTTAAGGAATCAACGTTGAAATTAGGTGCGAATTGTACCAAAAGTGCCAATCAAAGCTAAGGCCGGGACCTTTGATGCCCGCCCAATTTGAAAAAATTCTCCCCATTAATTATAGTTTATTCTTTTTTTGGAATGAAATTCCTGGTGCATATTCAAGCCAAAGGGTGCTAAAGAGAACAACTGTGCGCTCCATTATGCTTCTTTGGTAATTAAAAGTTTCCCGATGTTACCTGAATTGTTTATGGTCGTCTGCACTTGATCGATGCATTGGAATGAGAAATCGCTTGAATCATGTGGTGTTTTGTTAAAATGTACCGCTACTTCACAGGTCTTTTTCTTGGTGACCATGACCTTAGCAGACTTATGGTTGCAAAATCTAACTCTATAGTCATTTGTTGTGGAACCAATGTATTGTAGGCAACATTTCTTGCACGAAGCCAAATAAATGATGTTGTTAGAATCACAGGAGAGCCTCGATCATATCTTATAACTCTTGCCTGTTTGAAAACTTAGAAAGGAATTAGATTCAACCAAGAAGTTGCGATAAAGATCGCATCTTGTTCTATTACATTTAAAACATCCCTTAACCTCAGCAGCTCCTTTGCATTCGATGTTAGGGCTGTAACAGGATGGCACCAACAATTCTTTAAGATTTTTAGATCTGCGAAAGGATGCTATGATGGAATTTGAAGGAAATTGCTCTTTTTAAACTTGGGATTGGATTCCAAAATACCCAGATGTTTTCTAATGATACGACTTACATCAGGTAAATTTGGATTAAATGTTGTCACAAAGGGGAATAATTTCCTCTTAGATCTGGCACAAGTCCTAAGTAGATCACTTCTAGGTATGGTAGAGGCCTTATGGAACTGATCATCTACTAATTTGGAAGGGTAACCTTGATTAACCAGATAACCCTTGTATTCAGTTATTTTCATTTTCAAAGCTATTCCTAAAGCTATTTTCTAAGCTATTCCTATTCCTTATAGTGTGGCGACAAGGTTACAAAGAAACTGCTCTGAACAAGCCTTTCTTGCCCAGAGAATAACTGAATACAAGGGTTATCTCTTGAAAGTCCATTTACCTAAATTGACAAGCAACAATAAAGTTCTGTGTCTAATGATCAAAAGAACGTCAGCTCATTAAGATTTGCATGTCAATGAGTATGTGCACTATTCACTACTAACCCAAAATGGTCTGTTTATTGCAATTCATACTGCCTACTTCCTACTGTAGCATAAATGATTACCCATAGGTTGGTTTTAAACAGCTGGTGGAGTGGATAGCTATAGTGTAGTAGCAAAAATGATAAGGACTCAGTCCCACCTGCTCTTCTGCGGTTCATGGAAGCTACCCGGCTCCACTTGTTGGTGTGAGGGTTGTATCGCTCCACACTTTGAAGAGATGCAGCACCATCATTACCACCAACAGCATAGAGGTAGCCACCCAGCCCTGCTACACCTACTCCCCCTCGAGGCATCAGCATAGGTGCCACCATGCTCCAAGTATCATTTTCAGGATCGTATCTAAAGGAAGCAAGGAAAACCACAACACAAACAATGCAATTGGTTTGATTACACACAATGATAGGTCCAAAAAAAGACTCAGCTACCCTCTGTGTCAGATAAACAACAAAAACTGACCCTGACTTGCTTCACCATTTCACATATTTCAAGCTGTTTGCTTTTTTAGCCATTTGATGGCTCATACTGTAATTTAATTGTGTATTTTCCTCTGTTCTAGTCAGACACAAAGACTACCTTTATTATTCAAAATTCAGTTGACAGGTATCCCATGGTAGATCTGCTTGCATTTTAAAAGGGCCAATAATTATGGAGAGGGAATTTTGGGGTACAGCATGCTTTTTGCTGCAACCTTAGGTTGAGCAGTCTGCTGTACGCTCTCAATAATTTGGTATCCACAATGCAATATGAGAATTGCATTGTCTTAGGCCCGGAGAAGCACTCTGGTCCTTACTGCAATGAAAATGAATTTTCAGAGCACAGATGCTTACATCACAAAAAAAAAAAAAGAAAAAAATTAATGATAATTTCTGTTCACCTTTCTACAGCATCAAAGCAGGTTGTCTCATCCAAACCTCCAGCAACATATATTACTCCTTCCAGGACACCAGCAGACATTCCACGCCGTGAAATTTCCATGGATGAAACTATCTTCCATTGGTTAACTTCAGGGTCAAGGCACTCCACAGTGTTAAGGTGCTGACTGCCATCATGCCCACCGATTGCATATACCTTGCCTGCAACAGAGGCCACCGCCACATGCCTGCGAGGTGTTGAAACTTCTGCTACTTGGAACCAACAGTTGTGAAACCAATCATAGCATTCAATACACTTAAGAGGATCACCTGACTTCCCACGACCACCGATAGAAAATAAGGTTCCAGATGTGGACTTGCGTGGTTGAGCCCTGATATTTACTTTCACCAAAGAAGGATAAAGTTTAACATTCTTTGCCTCGTCTATCAAATCACGACATGCAACATTGCTTCTGATGATCAAGTCTCTTTCCACACGTTGTATAAGGTAATCAGTGGCAATCATGGGAAGTCGCACATGACTTAACAAGTCCGACAGAAACTGTTCACGAGAAACTAAGTCATATCGCACCCAGGCTACAATGGCCTCAAAAACCTGCTCCTCGCGTTTCACAAAAAGGTCTTCTCCAGAGATAATGGCAAGAAAATGTCTAAAAGAGGTTTTAAGAAGGGCGTCTGTGTTCATAAGACTCAAGAAACAACTTCTTGAATAAGCGTCTGCTGCTTCAATAAAGTCTCTACAGCCGTGAAGCTCTGCGTACGCTCTCATTTCTAAACAATTTGACGGATGAAGATGCCGTTTCATGAACTCACAACAAGCATGAACAACTAGATCAAGTTGAAACACAGCTGCTGCAGTCAATAGAGCTTCAATATTGTCAATACTGATTGTAATTTTTCGCGTGTAAATGAAGTTAATCAACTGAATAACCGCTTCTTCGGATAATCCATGAATGACAACAGTGTCCTTGGAGCATTCTATCATGTCATTCGTAAACATTCCGCGGAAATATGGACTGCACGAAGACAAAACAACACGATGGCACTTGACTTTACGCTCTCCAGCTTGAATGATCACATCACATAACTTCTTCTCCCTGAAAAACTGAACCAACACGTCAAAAGCCTCGTTTGGCAGACTGTGTGCTTCGTAGTGGAAAGTGTCCACTATAATGTCTCCCATATTGTTGCAATATGCAAGCAAAGCAAATTTCTGAGACTCCAAAGTTTCGACGATCACAATTCCTTTATCGATTTCGCAGCTTCAAATCGATTGCAGTGGCTACTAGACACGGCATTCAGCTACAGGAAACGTTGGAGAAGGTTTCAATTAGCCTCAAGGGCATTAACCACAAGAAAATGGCGGTCATATGGCTTTAACCCGGTTTTCCGGCTATTGTGGACGCTTTCCTCTCTCCCCAGTTTCCCTGTGATCATGTGATTACGCGGCCTCTCGAGGTGTACACGTGGTCAAAGCCACCGGCATTGGCCATTGACCATTCTTATGAAACTTTTTGAACTCACCTGAGAAACTTTGCAGTAGTGCAACAAATCACATCGTTACGGTAAAGCAAAACCGAAAAATTCTCAAACTTGTAATAATTGCATGGTTAAATTCTTTGAGAACACGAGTCAGACGAAAGGCACCAAGCTGTTAGCCGCCGCGCCTGTAGATCTTAGGACATTATACATTTATTAGTATTGATATCACAAGTTAATTTTTTTTAGCCACGGGGATAACCTGTAATGCGAACATTCTCTAACCCATCATCTCTTAATTCATGCAGTAAGTACGCTGAACCGAACAGAGCGAGTCATAGATTAAAGGCGCGCGTGAAGGACGAACCTACGCGGTATAAAATCGCTGCGTAACATCACGCCAGTGCGTTGGGATTCTTCACACCCCTCTGAAACATATTAGGGCAACCTACTGACTTTAATTTCAGTTGTGCACCAGACGGGGAAAACTGAAAAGCGAAAAGGAAAGTCGGATGTCATGTTTCCAAAAAAAGATTTCGGGACATGGAAAATTAATTTTGTTTTTACAGCCCGGAAGAAAACCGAAATACGAGAATGAAATTTCACTGTCATTTTCCAACACATTGAAAACACGGTTGGCACAGTAATGTACGGTACACGGATTTTAAGGACTTTGAGGACGTAACCAAAATAGTGCACATCGTCTGATTGGTCAATTCAGTTTCCAAGCGGATGCTTTGTCAGCTCATACAGCTTGCATGTGACTATGTCATAAATGCAATGGAGCGCATTTCTCCGGGCTCTTTTAACGTGATAAATTAAAGCCACCTGGGATGTTGGGAGAACAAGATGAAAGCTTGTAATTTTCTCGCTTTCGGCTCGTGATTTATAACCTCTCCTCGTGTTCTCCCAATCGCGTTTTAGAGCCCGGAAAAATGTGTTCTATTGCTTTATTACAATACTTCACCACACTGGATAATATACTAAAACAAAGAATATTATGCATGTAGTTTTATTCATCGATCTTAAAAATAATCAAATAAGTTACTGAGCTCTTTGCCATGCAATTAAAATTCAACATTTTAAGCGCTTTCGAAAGTTCAGACTGACACATCTAGCATATAAATATCTTTTAATTAAATATCCTAGGTTAAAAATAATTGAGGTAAGCCGTCCATTTAAGAAAGGAACTAAAACTTAAAAAAAAACTGTCAAATTATATTAAATATAAATTTCTTTCTTGCCTTATACAATTAAAAATAATGCTTAAGATCACAAATCTGTTACTTAGTATAAAATATTACTGTTTAGATTCCCGTGTCTGATTCCTTCCTTTACAGTCACATTTACTTTTATAAATTCTAACACAATTTAACACCGAATTTCTCGCCGCAATTATTTTGTAAAAATTAACATGCTTCAAAGAATTTAGCCATTTTAGTATCTGCGGAAACTTTAAGTCAGGCGTGTTATTTTTACGCCTTGTTGAGTAGCTTGCGAAGTGGTTGCCGTTTAGAGTTGTAAAAGAGAGTAAAAATTTAAACAGAAAATAGTAATAGGAAAGAAAGAAATTGCAAATGTTTAGCCTGCAGTTCAGGTGTAAATTGTTTGCTTATTCAGGCGAGCAGACGGGCGAATCACTGCCGCACAAGATTCGTCTTTTGCCTTCACCTCACGTAGTCCTCCACGCGTCTGAATGTACCAAAAAACGACGCTTGTGCCGTAGGGAGACGTATGTTAAACGTGGCCGGCAAGCAAGCTGATTCGGATGAGTGCTCTCTTCCACCGTTTGCCTTTCACATTCATCGTACTTTTTACTTTGCTTTGCCTTTTTCAAGCTATAATAACCGCAAACGGAAACCTTTTAAAAGACTGATGGTTGGGTAAAAATCAGAAAATTAGCCAACACCCAACGTCCGCCAATTCTGACTACTTATGGAAAAGCGCACGGAGAAAATGTAGCAAAACTGTCTTCTATGTCTGGTACAATTACCAGCATCGACTTAACTCGTTTCCATTCCTTCACATGGATCAACTCTTTGCCCTAGTGCAATTTTAACAGAGGACATGGCTGTTCGCAGAAGCTAATTTTTCATGTGCAAATTCGATTGGTCAACTTTTGGCTCTAAGCTTTCCTTTTCCCAAACGGCCGCCCAGTTTCCGTGATCATGATATTCTTTGAGTAGTACAGCAGATGGAATTCCCTCTTGAACTAACTTCACTAACTCCCCAGCGCAAAACACGTGATAATACCTCTGATGTAGCTTGCTTTTCACTTTCTTCCGCGGTTTAGTCGATGGTGATGGCGATGCAGTTGATGACAGTGACGACGAAGCTGACAATGAAGATGATGAAGATGACGAAAGTGAATCTCCCGGAGCTGTGGTTGAATTAGTGGATTCCTTTTCCGGTTTGTCTTGACAGTTCACTGTGGTATGATGGAAAACCTTGTTGTTGCGTGTGACATGGCGTGATCTGACTCGGTCACAGTCCTCTGCAGCGCTTGAGTCTGATGTAACGTAATCACTGGAACTAGAACTGTCACTCTCCGCGTCGCTTGACGATGCTAACGTCTCGACAAGCCTTGCAACTACCCCCAAGCTAACTCCATGCCAATCATCTGCTCCATCTTCATGAAGGCGACCATCAGTTTTTTTCTCTCTCAAGCCAATGATGACATCATTGGAAGGGGACTCCGCTGTAGAGTGGTCTCTGTTCTTACTCCAGGATATTTCTTCACCAGCTTCCCTACTAGCCACTGAGCTCTCGTCAAAACCGTTTACATCTAATTCTTCCTTGCCAGGGAACAACTTCTTTGCCACTAAGGAGAGGAATTCACCATTCAAGTATCTTGGTCGGCTCTCCGAAGAAAAATGCGACATCAAAGCTGATAATTTGGCGCTCAAGTCCAAGTTTGTATCCATGGAAACGAGATTACCATGCGCTTTTTCTTGAGGGCGATTGGGTGTTGTCTCGGAAGCTTTGTCATCAAATAACTTCTCTAAAACATTGTTAAGGAACTTTTTAAGTTTTGCGACCGGTGTAACCTCGGATGAAAGTCGACAATCAGGATCGAGCGCTGGATCTAAGGTGGAAATCTTGCCGCCGTTCCTAACATGTTGCAGGCGAGAGAACCTCGAAGATCTCGCATCCTGTTTACACAGGTCTTCCTCCATTGTCAACCGCGCGCTAAATCGATTCCTTTCACTCTTTGGTTCGTCCAGGGAAAATGCTCGCCTTGATTGCCATGATGAAGCAGACTTGTTTGATGTATCTTTAACTTTCATCAGTGGATGGATTCTTGACATCAAAGGAGTGGATTTTCTTCTGCGAACTGCAAAGAAAATTAATATGGTCTGAACATAAGTGAAGTGTGCCTTAAATGAGTCGTAATAAGATGACAAATCTATTCTTCTTTAGATACATTTTTGGATTACTTTTTTACCTCTTTTCGAAAAATTTGCATTCAGTGTTTTTTTTGTCCCTATTTTCTCTTTTAAAGGGAGGGGTAAGGGGTTTGTGGGGAGGGGTGGGTAAATTGGAAACCTATTTTGAAAATAGAAAAGCATATTAATTTTAAATACTTAAATGACAAATTCATGAGAGTAGTAAATTATATGGATTTTATGAAATACCTGTATTTCTCTGGTATTGTGTAAATGGAACTAAGACATCCTGACCATTGAACTGAAAAAAAGAGAAAAATGAAAGTTTGACACATACAATGCACCATACATCATTGACTTATTTCCTTGTTATCAGTTATAACTGGAAACCAAGCTGTGGTGAGATAAATTTGTAGAACAAATAATAGTACATAATATAGAAAGTAAAAGTAAATAATACAACAGTAAATAAAAGCTGTCAACAACATAGTAGTGACAGCTGGTTACTTTGCCTAACACTGTTGACATTGCAGAATATACAATGCACAAGCCCATCTTACCTCATTTTTAAAAGCATTTAACCACAGGAATGCAAGCATAGATCCTCTACTTATTTCTTAATGAAGGTATAATAAGAAAAATGATCGAACCAGCAGCTTCTTCATTCTAGCAGCCAATACCAGCAGATAGGTTTTGTCAAACTTACATTCATTCTAAATAAACCCTAAGAAGAACAGATTCTTTCAATCCCAGGTACTAACCTGAATGCCTTTTTTCCTGAAAAACCTTGAAAAGATATTGCTCAGACAGTTGTGATCACTAACAATCTTAATTATTGCTGTCAAACTCAGACAGGTGCAGTCATATGTATGTCAAGAAATAAACTCTTAAATTTTCCTAAATTGCTTTAACAATTAAAGGAGTTATGTGAAAAGAAATCAATTTGGCAAGATTTCACCAGGCTTATGTGATAGCACTTAAAGAAATAAAGAGCAATGACTTTGCTTTTGCAGTTAATGGTTGTACAGGGTTAGAACATTTTTAGGTATAAATACTTTCCTGTCCAGTTATATTTTTAAAATGATGCATTCAATCTGTTTCAAACCTTTCTTTCATCTTGTTCGAATGCCCAAACATACACCAACATCTTCCCTCCAGGTTTAAGAATACGGTAAAGTTCTTCCAATGCTTTCATACGCCTCTTGGCAGATGCAAAATGATGAATGACACCGATGGAAATCACAGCATCAAAGCAGTTATCCTTGAGGGGAAGATTCTGATTGTCACATGTCAAGACATTATGGCCTCTTTTTGCAGCAATTTGACTGAACTTCATACAGCTGTCTGATCCAAGAGTGAAGGACTGATCTCCTACCAGGTTTAAGTACCTGCCTGTTCCACAACCTGTAAGGTAATAATTTTCCTTTTTTCATTTTTTTTTTTTGTTTAAAAGGTAGGTACTGGTAAGTTGTCTTTGTCTGATTACGTGCAAGGCAGCCCACTGTGGGGGATCCCTCAGGCCCAGTGAGGGGAGGGGGGCACTATGGAGTAGCAACAGGGGGAGAGAGGATCCCCTTTAAATCAAGAATCCATTCATTTACCTCTCCTGTTGAGGACAAAAAATTGTCATGGCCTTCTGGCTTATCAACCTCATGAAGCTATTGAGGTTTAATATTCAGACAACATATTAAGAATTAGATTCTAAAATCATGGTTATCTTTGTATATTTGTACTTGGACCAACTTACCAACAGAATTACTTATTAAGTTACTCCCACCCCATCCCCTTCATCACACCCTTAAAAAACACTAAGAAGGTTAATGGAACAGATAAGCTTATTTAAAATTGTTTCGATGTTGGGACCTTCGTTTGTGCACTATTCTATGTGAGAGGGCCCACAACATAACTGAATCAGTGTGCAATAACACTATTGCAGAATGATGAAGGGGGCAATTATGAATGTTTTAATTTTCTAATTTTGGACATGCGTTTTAGCACTTCTTTTTTCCATTTTTGGTCTCGATTGAATTTTTGGTCGGTTTTCGTTGTTGAATGAAGTCTCAACGATCATTTTTCCTTGATGATATTGCTTTACTTTGCTTAAAAAAAAACATTTGAAAACTTCGGACAGAAATAGTGCTGTTTACATCGATCCTGCTTATCATGCATATCATTTGCAGATTATGTAATCAAAATAAAAGCTTAATCATAAAGCGTCTCATTACTTGAGTTAAATGACAATCAAGCAAATTATTTTCTTTTCTATCACAATAAGCGGATCAAACAATGATACAGGCTCACCAAAGCATTACTGCCTTCCATTCTTTTCTTCAATTCGACTGGTAAAATTCGTAAAATTATGAAATCATTTGGGAAATCTTACCAACATCAGCGATCAGGCTTCCTGCTGGCAGAGAGAGAAGGAATTCTTCAACCTTTGGCCAGGCTTTGTGTTGTGAACCAACGAAATGAGGCGCTATTTGATTATAAACGTCGCGAACATGATGTTTTTCCAATTCATCGGGGGAAGTATATTGTGACATTAAAACACAGATGTTTGACTATCTTTCAGATCTTTGCTGGACTAAACCTTTCCTGTGACGTTTTCAAGGAAGAATCAAGTCCTTGTGAAGAGAGGGATTAAAAACTCGAGAAGGATCTTCAAAGCAACTTCTCAGGATAAAATATCAGACGGCTATGGGCGAATACGTAACGCAGAAATCGATGATCCGTAACAAATAAACAGACCGATGATCACGGACGGGGAAAACAAAGCACGATGCGCACATGTGGAATTCCAAAATAGTTTTTTTATCGCGGTCTATGGCCAAGTTGCTATAAAATGTCAGATCACTCGCCGTTGACACACAAAAACCGCGATCTAAATCGAATCGAGCTTAAATTGTCTGTCACGAAAGGTGTAACTAGACGAATGAAGGAAGATTTGTGATAGTAAATTATTCTTATGCCAAATCCGTCCACATCTGCGACAAAATTTGATGTTGATTCCTCAAGATGCGGATCGCGAAGTCAGACTTCGTTCCTTTCGACCAAAGCTGAAAAGACAATTGTGAGAAAAAAATCTTTGTGTTTGTTATCAATGAGCAGATTATTCGTAGCAACTAATTTGCAAATGAAAGAGTAAACGTGTTCGATAAACAATGCAGTGCTTTGAAAGCTTGTAGGCTGAAAAAGTTATCCTAATTTTGAGAAAATGACAATGACAGAGTTTGCTTCCCTGGGAACGCTGCGCTCAAGTAAGCAATTTCAATTTTTTCCACGTTTTCACGAAGAGTAAATTTCCACAAAAAATGACAGGTGCTAAGGGAAAAACCATAGATTCTGGATAACGACAAGTATTTTAATGCAAATGAACAACTAAATAAATAAAAACGAAAACTCCATCTCGTGTTCAAAAATTGAATAAACCATTTTTATCGCACTTTGAAAAAATAAATCAACACGTGTATATTTTCTTCCCATGATGAGCGCCCGAGAGTACGGGTTGTTGCGAAAGGCGCTTCTTAAAGGAAATCAACCACGTTCTAAGAGTTTGAAAACTGACCTTAATGTCGAAGCCACAATCCACTTGATTTCTATCGAAATAATTCATGAAAAAAAGGACCACACACGCATTTGCGTGCTTACAACAAACCACTCTGTCTGAAGTTCATTCCAAATACGGTCTGTAGAAAGAGGTCACGCAAGAGTCACGCGACTTTGGCAAAGCTAACCTGGTCTCCAGCGTTTTCTCGATCATTAGAGAGATTTATCACCGCCTTTAAGTGGAAAGGCAAACGTCAACTTGCCCTTTCGCGTTTCACGTTAAATAGGGTGAACCTTGCTGCGTTAGCTTCGCGTGAGCTCACGTCATGACGGATTTGAGGGGCCCTTGTATGACTTACAAGGAATAGTTTTGCTGCCCTTTTTCCGGCAATTAACTTCTGCTCTGTGAAAGAGGAAAAGTCAAGAAAACCTTACGTACACGGTAAACGCGGAACAGGTTACTTTCACGTACAAACAACATAGCACAACCGGCAAACGTCAAAAAAATGGTCACTTGCGGTTCACGTTTCGCGTAAACGCAGTGCTAAATCTCGTTATTCTTGGTCAAGTGCGCGATTGTTTATTCGACTGGCAAGATGTATGATCTTGGGTTAGGTAGAGTGTGAGGAAAGAGGCCGGCAAAGGCACCAGTCCCTCCGCTCTCCTTCCTTTTGACCGTCGCTCACCCCCTTGGTAAAATTATTTTTTCTCTTCACAGCCCTCTGTTACTTTAAAAATCAAAGCCATAATTTTCACCAAAAGAAAGCTGACCTTTCGCTCGCCAAAGTCAAGCTTGCTCTGCGGGCTAAGCGTTTAAAAGCACACACAACCCACAATTCCTCTATTCGCTCCGACGGTGGCCAATTTACCATTTCAACTTTGTTGATATATTCAAATTATTTCGTTACCCCCACCGACGCAGCCCCAAACAGTTTCTTTCGAAACTATCAGCCTTTATTCATAAGTCTAGAGAAACCCACCACCACCTTGAAAACTTTCCGAGGATTTGTGAGGAACCCGGCTTGGGAACGAGGTTGGTGGTCAGGCTTACCTGGGGTCTCTATCTTCCTGCTTAGGCAGGGAAAGGCGAGAGCCCTGGAAACCGTCAGTAAAAAGCAATGACCTCCATCCAGCGCGAAAAATTTGCCTCCGATGTGATCCGCAGAAATTGTCTTTTCCATGAGTGCGGCCCCTGGAAAGCTCGGAGCCTCGGGATTCAAATTATGTCCAAGGACCGGTACTACGAAAAAATAATTCTCTCGTCAACCGGGGGTTTATTGCAATAGGGACCTTAAGCAGTCAGAACGGCAACGCTAAGGTGGACTTCGATTAAAAAATGAAATCCTACTTCTGATTAGAATTTCGAAAATGGCTGCGTGTGTCTCAGTACGGCGCCACACCTCAACTTCAGCACAACGTATCGAAGTAGCGTAGACTTCCAAATGGAAATTAAAATAATTTGCCGGCGCGGTTTCCGGTTTCAAATTTTGGTGATTTCACGTTGTTGTTTTGCGAAGGATGGCTGAGAAATGTACAAAGTTCTAAAACGCACGTGCTGAGCTATTGTTCTGCCAATTAGATCTTTTGTTTTGGTTACAATGAATATATGAAGTTCATAAATTTTCGCTATTCTGATTTCCGCTATTGCATAAATAGCAATCTCTACTGCGAGGATCGTGCATCATACGTATCTTTTGTTTTTCCACGTCTTCGTTGCCGTCGCCGTCGTGGTTTGCTAAAGGTCCCTACTATATATTTTTACGGCGTGTTAAAGGACATTAGCCAGAAGGCTCATTTTTTGATTGATTATTGATTAGTTCACTAATTTCAGTATGATCTTAGATAGCCACTTAAATCTTATCTGTTTTTCTGTATTTCTGTTGGTTTTGTAATCGGACCTTTCAGCGTCACCACGCACATATAAAAGGCAAGTTTAGTGTCCCTTTAATCAGTTCTTGGTAAGTTTTGAATAGTCTTGGTAAACTTTCGCCATATCGTTTTCTCAACCTCTGGCTCAGGCGGGACCGATATTTTACGATCGATAGATAGATTGATTGTGAGAATAATCATTATTTTCATCGTTGATCGTGGTTCGTGGTCGATTGCCTTTCAAGAATAAAGATTCGGGCAAACGGTCAACTTTGGTTTGTTATTTCGATCAGTAAAATAGTCCCCAAACACCTCGTTAACCGCGTTTTGGAGCGACACGCCCTTGAAATTGAGAATTTAGATTTTGGTCGCCGCAAACGCTACACGGCGTGTGCAGCAAAGTTCCAAAAAAAAACATTCCCATTAGTATCATTTACTACGTGGGTCTTGACTTTCAAGACTTTCACTACGGATTCATGTGAAAACGAGTTTGTCTTTTAATTCTCCCGCAACCTGAAAGCACTTCCTGGATACTCTTAAATAGAAATGATGCCGTTAACGGTACTTCTGTTTTATTTCTTTGGAACAGGTTAGTCACTTTCTGTCAATTCCTCCATTTCAGGGCCATCATACAACATCCATAGCATAAAATAAGGGTAAAACTCGATGTTTTCCTGTGAGAACAGAGTCTTTGTTTCAGCAATCCTTGCAAGAACAAAGCAACATTTGTGGTCCAGTACGAATAAGTTCTCCCTCTCTTGATTGGGTTTTAATTGAGCCCAGAAATCCAGAAATGATCTTTTCTTGCAATTGGATGATGAATGACGTTTTGTTCAGGTTGATGTCACTGTCCTTTACTATCGTATTTTGCCTCGTATGCAGGTCTGCTTGTTTGTTAATATCTTTTTTCAACAACTTTGTCCATTCTTCTTAAGCTTTATGAAAGCAGAACATTCGAAATATTTTCCCTTTCCCATCCTCGATAACTTGCTTGTCTGAAAAAACTTAAGCTTGAGATGAGAACGGGGAGTCATACAAAAAAATTGACGCTGGTTGTTGGCCTGTTTTCATTCCAAAAACAGAAACCGCCGTGAAAGGTAAATCTTGATGGTTCTAATCAAACTTTTGATGCTTCACTTACAAAGTGTTAGGTGTAGCAGATTTCAAACTCAGTGAAAATCATTTCGGAGTAGAAATGGATCATATCAACGAGCGCCATCGTCAATACAGTGCTACTCATAATAGGAAAATATCAATAGGGGTCAGATCTATAATTGATGGAACAGCTCAAAAGAATCAACGGTTTTCTTGAAAGAATGGCAACCTAAGTCAGTCGGATTTCTCATCTCCCACTGATACACAGATTTGTTTTTCTGTTTCAACTGATAAGAATTTTTTTTTGTCCACGCACCGCGATCTATTAAAACAATCAACCAAGGTTACAAGGTAGTTTCAAAATTTACTTGTGTCGCTCGCGCCAATGACCACGCACCTTGTATTTGTACCATCAGAAAAAGCATGCCTCTATTTTAAGACTTACAGGCAATAGTTTATCGAGCCTAGTATTTCTTTAAGGTTAGTTACACCAAAATAGCTTGAAAGGAATAAATTATTTGTTTTCATATGGACTCATTGGTTGAAAGTATTAATTTTTAAAGATCTCCTTTCGTAACTCCTTTCACAACCCAAGGGGGATAATTACACTTTTTGTCTTTGTTACTTAATTTGTTTTCTCTGCTCTCACACGGGGGTACTAAATCAATCAATGGCATAAGGTGTGGGGTGATAATAATAATAATACTAATAATAATAATAATAATAATAATAATAATAACAATAATAATAATAACAATAATAATAATAGTACAGCAGTGTCAGGTAGAATGCAGAAGTCTGTAGTCAGCAGTTCACTCAAGATTGCAAGATCTTTGAAAGTCATGAGTTGAAGACTTCATCTTAGCCATGTGTTATTTTTATGATTCTCACTACGCTACAGCATAGCGGGGGTTAATTTGCGCGGGCGCAAAGGTCGCCTCTTTGCATTATAAACACCCCCGTAATAACTAATAACCTGATTACTACATATGCGATATTGACTTCGCGTGAGCTCAAGATATATGCGTTAATGATCAAGTGTAAGACCATGATGGCTAAAATATTGGACGAGTTCTTTTTTTCCCTTTGTATGGATCAAGACGATATAGCCATTCATTAACACTATTGTTTGCATGAGTTTAGCTCAGTTTTAGACTCAATTTCCTGTTTGTCAGATGAGAAGCCACAACTGGAATCCTGTAGGTATATGATGAATAACTCATGATTACAAATATCGCTTTTTAAAACCGGCGAGGCTGTAAATAAGTCATAAAGTCAGAAAACCACTCAGATGTCCAAAGACTGCCAGAAAAATACTAAAAAATGTTGCCAGCCTTCTCAGTGTATCTGTGATATTAACCTACGATGGGTAGAACCAATTTGAGGACTGCAACATGGAAGAACCTCCATGATTATCATGGTGACTCATCACATCTTAAGTCTTGAAAAACAAACAAACAAAAAAAGCATTGGCAAAACATTTATTGTTCTTACGGTTCTGAAAATTCCAGGCTCTGTCAAATATCCTGTCAACTTTCTAACGTAGCTACATAAGTTTTTTCAGTAGGTAGTCTTTGTATAGTGCATACGTACATCATTTTATTGCTGACAGCTTTCATGGGAAAACAAATATCAGTTACTTATATACGTAGTATGTTTCCGTGAGGCCTTGACGCGTGAGAAAATTAAATAGTTTATTTAGATGGAGCCGCTGGTGGTTTTTTTGAACCAGTCATCTAAATTTTACCCAAGATGATTTCGGTAGTGTGAGTGTGGTCAGAAGTTTATTTGTCAACAGATTGGCCATGAAGTTCCGATTCACAACATCGCTGAATCCACGACTACAAGAAATGGATCGTATTGTAATGGTTACCGTAATATATATCTTGATAATT